TATGTATACTTCTCATTCAACCACAATTAAATTCACTCTATCCAAGAGGCACAATTTATATATTTATTTTTATAATAAGCTGAAATGAAAACAAGCAAAAATGAAATAAAAGTAACGACTTTCTACTATTTGCCTTTTTTAAATAAATGTAAGAGTAGAAAGTACAGATAATTGTGTGAAAATGTAAGAAGTAGAAGTAAAAAGTAGGCTGAAAAATAATTACTCAAGTATTAATACCCCAAAATTCTACTTAAGTACAGTAACAAAGTATTTGTACTTACATTGCAACTCTGTCAGAGCCAGATGGGTGTATTCAGCTACTTTATGYGCAGCGAAGCTAATTGTGGTGATAATTTTCATTATCTGCATCATTAGGAGGTCAGAGTTGAAGATTCTGATGTACCTGCGTGTTTTCAACCAAAGATTTACAGCTCAGAGTCGCTGCAGGTCCAAACCTTGGCCTAATTCCCAGGATTCACCTGCAGTCAGTCAGTCAGCTGACAGAGGAGACAGTAGTGAAAGAAAGAGGAGGAGCAGGCCTGGGGCAGGTTTGGATATGGAAGGACGGATGAAGAGAAGAAAAAAAGGAGGGAGGGCATTATATGAGGAGGGGAGAAGAGTTTACAGTAACAGTGGGAGGAGAATCAGCACTTCCCTGTGGGCAAGTCRGTTCCACTGTTTGTCTGCATGCCAGTGACAGAGGCGGCTCATGGAAATCTAACAGGGGAGTGGCAGCAAAGGAGGGAGGACAGGACGAGGGAGGAGAGGAGGAGGAAGTGAGCTGATTTAGTGCAGGAGAGAAGAGGGAGCAGCAGCATGTGTTGCAGCATGTTTTTGTCTCGTCGGCTGGCCCCTTAAAGCCAGAGCTCTGCAGAGGCCGCCTGCACGCTGAGCCTGGCATGACTGTGAGAGGRGCTGTAGAGTCACCTTCAGCACTGCTGGGTAAGTACACATCCAGAGGGAGAGAAAACACTGTCAGGTTGTGTAATCACAGCAGCTCGGTGTAATGTTTTACAAAGCAGTGTTTTATGTTTCTGGAACTAAYAATAGTCCCCACTTAATGTGAACAGCAGTCATGTGTAAAGCATTAAAGCTTTTTAGCACATGACACGTTGGATTAACATTAAACTCCTCGCTGTAGGACAGGGGAGAAGTCTCCAGGCAACCTCTGCGTGGCTTTCTGTTTTGTTCCYGCGGGTTAATTAGCAACAACTCTCAGACAGGTGGTAAAACTTACAGCGAGGACTGAGTGAGCCCACGCAGTGACCCCGCTCCTGACCTTTCGAGGACCAGCGAGAGATGCTGGCTGTACGAACAGGTCGTACGAACAGGTCGTTCCAACTTCAGATGATGAGAAGAAAGGGAGCGATTTCTCGTGATCAAACTGCTCATCTTTTCCTTCGTGACTGAACTGTTTTCTTAATCTGGTTATGTAAGATCAGCGCAGAAATGAGAAGCGGTAGTGAAGATCGCAGGTATTTGCAGTGACAGGCTGCAGGAGGTTTGCCAGACTTTATTGGAACAGTAAAGTGGGAGAAGTCGTAATTAAGTTAAGAAAATAAAAGCCCTTGCTTTGATTGAAGGTGTCAGAGTTTGAATGAAATTTGCTGTTTTTCAAGATAAAAGTCGTTGCGTTTAAATCTGGTCAACTTAGCAAAAAAGTAGTATACAAGTAYCCATTAAGTATACTAATTTTAAGCTAAAAATAAAAAAGTATATGTCCAGTTTACTTTTTATGTACTTATCTGCGATAAATTTAACCAAGTTTATCTTACGTATACTTGGCTTGTACTAAAAGTTTAAGTATAGTCTATACTAATGTTTAAACTTTTGGCCAACATAAACTTTAGTTGTACACTTTTCACACAGACGGGTTCGTTTGTAGTATATTTCAAGATTAARCTTAAAGTATACTTAAAAGATTACTTTCAGTACACTTCTGAGCATACTTTTATGAACTTAATGTGAGCCAATTTAGTCCTAGAAGAATACTTGTTAGTAAACTGCTAGTATACTTATATAAATGTACATGGTAAATAAAAGTACACTTAGGGAAATACACTTTTACATACTTTAATGTACTTAATGACATGTACATAAAGTATACTTTTTTGGTAAGTTTATAAACTTAAAAATGCATTATAGCTAATAATATATATACTTAAAGTATACTTTTTAGAGACCAAAATGTCCCAATTTAGTACAAACAAGTATACTTTCTAGTACACTACAAGTACATTGTGCCTAGTGTACTTGAACTTATACTCAAGATTAGATTTACATCCAGTGATTAGTTTCTGAAAGAGAAAAGCAAACACAGACAACATGTTTCTTATAAAAACATTTCTGTTTTGTGTTAAGCTACAGTTTTTACAYGGAAAAACAAGAAACTCTCCACCTGAGTCACACAAAGGGCACGTTGACTCAGGTGAAACCAGCAAGTCAAAGCTCCTCCCCTTTAAGGTCTGGTGTCTGGATTCAGGATGATAATGAAGTTTGGGTATAAATAATCAAAAGAAGGAAATGTCTGGTTTWTTTTACAGGAGGTGTGAAATATTATTAGTGTTTTGTTTCTTTTGTTTTCTGCCTTCATGCATTTTTACTTAACTAAGYAAAAATGATAAAGTAAATCCGTATCGTAGATTTGATCAGACAAAAAACACAAAGCTAGTTTTMTTTTTAGATCTGCTCATTTGTCTGTTCGAGCATGTTTTCTCTTCTGTACCTGCTTGCTGATCTTTAAATACAGATGCATGAAATGATGCATGCAGGAGAATTTCCACAGAACAGTAACTTAGAGGTTGACTGTTTTTTTTTTTTTTGCGGTGAGGGCAACTTTGTTGCAATTTGATGCCGTTGCCAGGTGTGTGTGTGTGTGTGTGTGTGTGTGTGTGTGTGTGTGTGTGTGTGTGTGTGT